ACTGTGGACTATAGACCACACTTGTTTTATCAAACTGACCCAGTGTTTCCTATGACCCACAGTCCAAGCAGGAGCTCATTAGCGGGTCACCAAAGTCCGACCGATGAGCCAAGGGATCGCAATCCCAGTCTATGGATTTCAGGTCCTCCCCTAGAGACAAGTCAAGATCACCAGGACCTTATGTGACCACAACTCTATGTTGCATAGGAGTACCTCTCGCACATACATATGCTTCATCTTGAAAGGTGGATTTCTGGTTTTCTCGAACGATCCATCGATATGCATGTCGTGTGATGGTACATGGATGAGGTTTTGGTCCCTGTCTATATAGGCCACCATCATACACAAGGGTACACAGTCCATCGGCTCACCCATCCGGGCATATTATCTGATCTCATCAAGGGCTAACCCATTAGAACCCTTCTTAATTTGTTCTTTATGCCCAGGTAACATGGGTTTTTTCCAACCAACTGGCCTAGATAGTCAGCACAGTCCAATATCTGTAATATTGTTTGCTTAGTATGACCCACGAGGGACCACACTCCCACTGAGTTCATGTTCCACTATATCATTTCATTTTACAAGCACTCATAAAACCTTTAAAGGCCACATGAAACCAACATCTCCCACTTTACCTTTGAAGGCGTTACATTCTCTCTTTCTCTCATTCTCATTTCTCTCTCCCAATTACAATATATTTTAAGCATTTTTACTTATTCTCTCAATACATTAATCATGGTTTTTGCCATCAATCCTTTCACAAGAGGATTTAAAGAGGCAACACATTTTTCTCTTTGCTGCTCAGATCTTATCCCAAAAATGGTCGTAGCTCATCTTCACATCGCATCGCGAATCATGGACTTATTGTCGTAAAAGACCATCACGTACCCTCATCACATGGGGTCGTATGTTCATGGGCTCAAAAGAGTTCATCAAATAAACTGCTCCCTTTTGTAGCCATACAACCAGCACCAAACATTTGGGTTCCATAGGTGAACAACATTATAGTCTATTGTTCTATTTGGCATGTCAACTAGTAGGTGCTCCCACTGGAATATTTAGCTTATCTGAATCTCGAATTTTCTCAATCTCACCTCATTCATCAAGTGATAAAAACATGGTTTTATATACTTGGAGTTCTTATAGAATCGTGGTTCCTTTGACACGCATATCATCAACATGCTATCGTAGAAAATTCTTACTGCATCACAATGCACGAGGTGAAAGTTAAGTCGATTAAAAAATTTCTTAATCTATACGGCCTCCTCGATCACCAAACAGCACGTCACATACTCTGCCTTCATGGTGGAGAATTTTGTTACATCTTGTTTCTTTGATTTCCAAGAAACTACACCCTCTCCAAGCATGAACACATATCCAGATGTAGATTTTGCATCATCTGGATCTGTGAGATAGCTTACGCCTGTATATTTGAATATCTAAGGAGTTAAAAAAATGTGGGACTGTAGTAGCTCCCACTCAATTACTGTACATACAACATGTATATTCTCAACATTCTTATACATATATCATGAGGTAGCATATCAAGTCTCATGCAATATGTAATTCAATACCCGTTGGTTTCACAATATGTAAAAACCTTCATGAACCACAAAGGTTCAACCACACTAGACATCTTGGTAGTAAATTCATACTAACCAAGTTATCTAATCAACATAATATGTGTTAGAGAAGCCTAGCATGATGACATTCTTACAACA